ATTTTTTTTTTGAGCCGGGGGGAGGGCCATGGAAAAAATTTTTTTACCGGACCATTTTGCACCAGCCCTCCCCCCCGGTAAATATCGTACAGTCCCTTAGTTGTGGGTACATGTGTAACTGCAAGCAGAAAAGCTAGTTTCACATGCCACAACACACGATAAAAAAAGAATAGTACATGTAACTTAAAGGGTTTAATCATGTAGAAACATAGCTTGAACTGCCAGTTTTGTGACACAAGTACTTGTCTTTGCAAGGACATTATAATGTCCTTGGTCTTTGGGTTCACTTTTCTTGACTGAATGATTGTCTTCTTTTCCAGAGCACGCCAACGTTCTAGTCAGGAAGGCTTTCGCTGTCGGAGTCCAAATGAAAATCGACACTTCAAATATCATCGCTGATGCCCTGAACATGCTCAGATTGGAGGGATACAATGATTAGGACACCCCTCCTTCCATGTGAACCGTCCCAACTTTACACAGATATCCACAGGACATGGACACTCCCATTCGCCCATGTAGGGGTGTGAGGTTGGTTGAAGGATACAATGATTAGGACACCCCTCCTTCCACTTGGACCATCCCAACTTTACACAGAGATCCACAGGACATGGACACTCCCATTCTCCCATGTAGGGGTGCCGAGATGGTTGAAGGATACAATGATTAGGACACTCCTCCTTCCACGTGGACTGTCCCAACTTTACACAGAGAGCCACAGGACATGGCCACTCCCATTCGCTCATGTAGAGGGTGTGAGGTTGGTTGAAAGATACAACGATTAGGACAACCTTCCTTCAATGTGGACTGTTCCAACTTTACACAGAGAGCCACAGGTCATGGCCACTCCCATTCACCCATGTAGGGGTGGTGAAGATGGTGGAAGGATACACTGCTTACAGCACCCTTTTTTTACATGGATCATCCCAACTTTACACAGAGAACCACAGGACATGGACACTCCCACTTTCCTGTGTAGGGGTGGTGACCATGCTAATACTGGAAGGATGCTATTAGGACACCCCTTTTTCTACGTGGATCATCCCAACTTCACACAGAGAGCCACAGGACATGGATACTCCCACTCTCCTGTGTAGGGGTGGTGAACATGCTGATACTTATAAGAACACCCTTCTTTCTGTATGGATCTTTCAAATCGAAAAAACAACAAAAATTATACATGATTGTATTCTATTATGTCAACGGCTATAGATATTAAATACAAGGTATATTAAACTTAGATGTACAATGTACTAAGAGATGTAAAATAGAAGACACAATAAAGCAGCTATGTACGGAAACTGAAATATTTTCTACCAATTTATTTGATAGGTTGATCATTCAAACAATCTCGGAAGACTGCAAAGTTTGTTTTAAGTACATCGTAGTTTATACATTATACAGCATAATTTCTTGTTTGTCTATGCTGCAGCGTACATTTACAATTTACAGGTTTTCTCACTGAAATGTCGACATTCCTTACTTGATTTCTTTTAATTCCCAGGCATGTGGATTACTAGTAAGTGTTCGCTAAATTAACTTGACTTGCCGATGACAGACACATTGTACCATGATAATAATTGCAGTTCTCTTGTTGAGAAGTATCTGAATGGTCCTATTAAGTTCACAATTCCAGAGAATTGTGCGTAGAATTGTCTTTCAATCAGTGGCATATATTAAGTAGGCGTGCAGACTAACTGCATGTATTATGCTCCAAAAAGGCCACAATTGCACTGATTTTAAAAACAATTCCTCTACACTTTCACATGATATATTTTGATAAGGCCACACCAATTTAATTTGTTGGTTCCCGCTTCATTTTTTTCTGATTTGCAAAAAAAAATTCAGGCTCTGAATCAACTCAAAAATGCTCATATTTTGGCCCCAAAAATTAAAGGAAGTCCCTTCTCTTTTTGAGTTGTTTTTCAATCTATCAATGCAAAATCCGAGAACCAACAAGTTAAATTGGTGTGGCCTATGTTTGGTTTCTATTTTGGCCATCGGGAAAGTTCTCCCTCATTACGAAACCACCCCAAACTGTTTCCCCACGTCGATGAAGGCGTCCACGGTTCGGTCGATGTCCTCAAAGCTGTGCACAGCGGAGATCTGGACACGGATTCGCGCCTTGCCCTTCGGAACCACCGGATAGCTGAAGCCAATCACGTAGATCCCACGCTGCAAATGGGTACGAGAAGTCTGGGTTAGTCACACAATGCTGGTTAAACTAGAAAGGTACATGTAACATTTGCAAAGCAAATACTGTAATGTTTACCTTCACATATGATCTGCTCTCAGACTGTTACTTACTTACAGATTATATATCGTGACAGGAGTCTAAATCCTTCCTGCTATAGAATTGCAACACTAGTTACCATGGTGACAGATGTCTGGTTCAGGTCATTGGCCTTATTTGTTTGGAGGAGAAGTGGAAGAAACAGAGCAAAAACTATATGTCCAAGGAAAACATGAGACGATCAAATTACACTACAATGACTTAACAATTAGAAACTACAGACAGAGTGTTAACTTTATATGTGCAAATACAACCTTATATGAGACGTTCTGCCAAAGTGCTATGCACAATACGGATTTCTTACAGGTGCAGTACCTTCTGCCGATGTGCTGAGTTACCAGCTGGTATATTATCATAACATAAGGGCTCAAAATTCTTTTTCTGCATAGTAGCCTGCAATGGTACAGATAACATTGAAAATAACTTGCACCAAGAAGAAGTTTTACCTTCAGCAGAGCGTCTGACATCTCGGAAGCGAGGCGGGCGTCGCCCAGCATCACCGGGCAGATGGGGTGGTTGTCCCCGGCAATGGTGAACCCCGCAGCCACCATTTTCTCACGGAACCTAGAGGTCAAACAAGAACATAAACTAATAAAGATCACGTAAACTTTCAAGCATCCTATTGTAATGTCGGTAACTTATATTATTTCAGAATCTGTGATTTTCATAATGCTCATTTTGACATATGACAATACATTGGAAATAAAGAACCAACATGATTATTATCTAGTAGTCTCCACCAGACTACATATAACTGTTAAGTTAAACGTTATATGTGCAATTGTATCTGAAAAGGGCACAACACCAGGGCATGTCAGTGGCTCAAAGTTTAGCTGGAACCTCTTTGTCTCTACCATTTGCCATCTTCCTCTCTTACAATTGAAGAAGCAGTCCAGTAGTTAGTGACCCTGCCTCTGGACTATGGGGTTGGGAGTGCATGCTATGTACTGTAAAGGGTCACTGTCCCTAGGACAGGACATTACACTGTGGTCCACTGTTCATTGTGCTTGTCAAAAAGAGCTAGCATATGTATAGGGGACTTAAGCTTGTATACTGAAGCTGTAAATAATGTAATGTTACAAGTACATAGCATTGTCTTCTCTGTCACAACCAGTGAGCAAAAGTAGCTCTTCAGTGACCTAAAACATGATCCAAATCACTTTGAATTTCTTTCTCTCCTACCTTGCTGTGTTCTCGGCCACTTTCCTTGGCAGGTCGGCCTCTCCCTGCATCAGAAGGTCGAACACTTTACTGGCGCAGGCCACCACAGGGGGCGGGAGGGTGTTGGAGAACAGGTAAGGTCGCGACCTCTGTCTCAGCAAGGTCACCAGCTCCTTGGGTCCTGCGGTGTAACCACCTGGAAGAGATGAATATTAGCTTTAAAGTTTACTGAACTTTGAACTTTGGTGCCACTTCAGGATGTCTAGAACCTTCCTGCAACATGATGTAACCTAACACTAGTTACCATGGTGATAGACTGTCTGGCCCAGGTCATTGACCTTTTGTGTTTGGAGAAGAGGAAACTATGCAAAAACAATGTTTTCCTTCGGTTAACATAACTACAATTCTTGTCTTACCCAGATGTTAGAGGCTACAGTACAATAATCTCCAAGCAGATCCTAGGGTGGCAAAAAGACGAGAGTATCAAATTGGCCAGGCTGGGTGACGTATTGGACCCTCTCTGGCCAATGGCCAATTTGATACTGTCTTTTTACTACCCTAGGATCTGCTTGGAGATTAACAGTACAAGCGAAAATCAGTTTGACCTAGTTCTTGCCTGCCATAGCTGTCAATCATTATGCAAATTACCTGTGAGTGACAGGCAGAACGGACTGTACAAAGCAGCCTTTCTTATCAGATAAGGATCTCACATCCTGTTCAATGTGTATACTCAGCACTTAGCCACTACATGTACCTTCATAAGGTGATGCAATAGTCTTAGCCTCCATAGCAGGCTTACAGAACTGGGGGTTTGGTGGTCTTCAGCTGTTTTCTGATTAGCAAAAAACGGGGGTAATTCATCCAGGCCAGCTATGTTGTCTATATGCAATCACAATAGCACATAAAAGCTCCCAAAGACCCTGAAGACCCCCCAAAACCCCAGTTTTTGGCATGCTATATGGAGGCTACTATAGTCTGGACTACATACAATCAACACTGAGTACTCTTCTGTTGATTACATATTATTCAAAAGGAATATGCAAAAGTATAAAAACTTAACATTTTAAGACTGAGCTCAAGTCTCCTGGTTTTCCTTTTAATCACACATTTTGCTGAATTTGATATAAAATTGAATCACAGTCAGGAATTATCAAAAGTCTAAGTTAACATTACTGGTAGTTGGTCAAAGTCCATTTTTCTGTGTATGTACTTGCAAAAAGCTTTCAACAATTGCAATTAGATTAAAAAGTATTTATATGACTCGTATTTTCTGCTATATCTACATAGTACAAAAATTTTAGGTCTGAATTATTTTAATTTCCTTTTGCGTAAATTATGAAAATGTTCTTAAGATTCAGAAATCTGAAGTTGATGCAATCATTGTAAATCTGAATATTAACACATACATTTGTAATACACTCAGGATAGAAATCTAATTGCTGGACACATTCTATTGCAGCTGTTTACCCAACTGGTAACAAAACAAACATGTCTGTTGTTCCAGAGTAAACAGAGAAAGTGGACAAATAATGTTTGAAAATGACAACCAAGTCCCAACAAAAGACACGGGTCTATAGCTACATTATTACATGTAGATAAGGGATCAAAAGCAGGGTGATTTTTTTTCTTTTTGCTTCAGAGAGGGGACTCTAGATCTAGAAGGTTGCCTGGTGTTATACATATAAATTATAATCTTTGTGATACTATAATTACTTATTGACTGGCTCTTGCAGAAAATAATTCTGACAATTACTGTAAAATAAACTGCAGTTTGCAAACCCACCAAAATTTAATACAATATTCTGTCACAGTCAGTGATTTCTGCTGATTTTAAAGTGTACGAAAATTAATTGTGTATAACTAAACTTGTGAGCCAATAGTTGTTCTGACAAAAGTTTATGAAGCCATCAGGAAAAGATCAACCACCTTGAACCTACTACAAAGTGTTTTTCGAAACTTCGTCCGATGCACTATCATGGATTCTTTAGTATTTTTCTATTCACGAAACAACTAAAGAACTTGTTTTGGCCTGGCATATATTGCATCAGCTGTGCAACTTTCTCAGCCAGTAACCACACAGGTGTGTCCGTTGCCATGGTAACACATACATGTGCCGAGGTCGGAGGTTATCACTAATATCAGCCAACAGCTGGGGATGTGTCACCTTTGACCTTTCTGCCTTGTACATGTATGTGTTTGGTAAAATGTCACTCGATAAACAAATATGCCCATGCAGACTACAAAATTAATGTACATGTAGCTAGCAGACAGCGCAGTCCATTATAATAAAATGTCATGTACAAATGTATATTATGATTTATGTCCTACCTGGGCCGCGATTACGTTCGATACGGGTGTTCCGGCCCGTGTGATAACTAGCGGTACGGCCCGGGGGTTCTTACCGCGTACGGCCTGGGCCTTCCAAATGTTCCGTGGAACGATTCGAACACGTTTCGGCCTAACCGCGTACACCGATTTCGAAATTCGAATACAAAATTCGGACGTTGGAATTGATGTTGTCGCATTTTTTTTTGGTTTAGGGACACCAAATTTTCGCTCATTTCGCATTGAAAGGCGCGTTTTCTTGGGTGGGTATGACATAAATAAAATACAACACGGTGTATTCCGCATCACCCTCGGTCCCAGCCCTCCCGCGGTTCGGATCTCCCTCCGGCCTGCGGCCGTCGGGCGATCCGACGCGCGGTCGGGCTGGAACCTCGGGCGATACGGAATACACCATGTTGTATATTATATGTAAATTGTATCTTTGTTATACTGTATATTTTGCCTGACCCTACCTCCTCCCTCATGACCTCAATGAAAAGCAGCCTGTGGGCCGATTTGAGCTCAGGAATGAACAAATGCTACAAAAATGCTCTAAAAGTCTGGCTCACACAATGCTGGTTTAATAATATAAGAGTTATGCTCAAAGGTTGCCTTGATTTTGTACGTTGGCTAATTACACTGTAGTTTAGTCCCCTTAGGCCACACCAATTTAATTTGTTGGTTCTCGGATTTTTTCAGAAAAAAATATGAAGCGACAGGGCGAAAAATAAAAATAAAAACAGGTCTAGGCATCCTATTATAGGCTTAAATGCTATGGAATGAGCCATGAAGTCAACACAAAAGGCTGGGTTAAAATTTAAACATTGAATTTTGAACTTTTAATCAAACCACTGCAATGATAGATGGGAAAACTGTAACAACTAGGAAGAAAAGGACTTTCCTCAACTGTTGGGGGCAAAACATTAGCATTTTTCAGTTGATTCAGGACCAGAATCAATTTTTTCTTTTTTTGCAAATCGGAAAAAAACGAAGAGGCGAATCCGAGAACCAACAAATTAAATTGGTGTGGCCTTACTTTGCAATGTGTAATAACATATTCTCTCTCTCTCTAGGCTCTTATGAAATATTTTCTAAGACGTTAGATATTGATCCGTATATTTGACCTTGCCTAGATCAGTTGTTGCTATTTCTGATGCCAGTTCCTACCTAGATTGACAAAGAGCTAGAGCAGTGGCTTCCTGTTAAATTTGATATAACTATCAGAATATGTATTGATTTTTGCCGGCCCTAAGACTGAATAATAGCCAGCCATCCAGCTGTTGCTTCGCACAAAAGGCATGTGTGCCCAGCTGGCTAAAATTAAACATGAGTTAGGACGTGCTACAGATGTTATATCATTATCAGGGCTCAAAATACTTTTTCTGGTAACACTGAAAATTAGATCCAGATCTATTAGTACACGTAGTATAAACCCAGTACAGGGCAGGTTACTGTATGCACATGTAGATGCAGACGTCAGAAATACAGTGCACAGCTCCAATCTTACCTGAACTGACCTGCATACAAATGTGTGCAGGTGGTATTTCCAGCCCTGTTTGTACATCTACATGTACATGTAGGTATAAGCTGGTGGATTGGGATTGCATCAGACCAGGACCTGTGACAAGTGCTGAACACACAAACTGTTGACTTAGTCCTAACATTTGCAGTGCCCTACAGCCCACTTTGGTGCAACAGAAATTTTGAATTACATTGTACAACATTGTGGTCTTCAAAGTTACATACACACTGTTGGGATATTTTTTTTCAAAGTCATCCCAGCCTTTAGTGTAATGTTTCTCTTAGATGTGCATTTGTAGGCACCCCAAATTTTATCCATTCCCCCATTAATTAACTCTCATATATTCATGCATTCAATGGAAACACAAGTCCTTACCTGCAGCCCCTCCCAATGCCTTGCCCAGAGTAGAGTTGATGATGGTGCATCTCCCATCTACTCCCAGGAACTCTTCTGTTCCCCTGAACATAAACAGTAACAGTCAGATTTGCCCTGATCTGAGGAAGGTGACAGACGGTCACTGAAATGTTGGCTGAAATACTTGGTTGTGTAAAAAGAGTTTTTTCTCTGAGTGATGAAACCAACCTGATGAAACTATTCATGGAACTAGTAAGTAACATTTGCAAAGCAAAGGCCTAAAATTAAATGTTTGCCTTCACATGGTCTGGTCTATCAAACTACTGCTCTGTTTATGCTATAAATTATTACCCATTCATACGTATACATTTTGTGTAATATATGGATATAATATGTGGTGACCAGCCTCTTCAACTCTGTTTTGCTACAAAATGTAACCCAACACCACCCGTTACCATGGTGACAGACGTCTGGTTCAGGTCACTGACCTTATGTGTTTGGAGAAGAGGAAACTGAGCAAAAACAATATGTTTTCCTTCAGTAAACATACAATGTAATAAGAAACAGCGTCTGACCTCCCAGTGGCTCCCAAGAAGCCGGTGGCGTGGCACTCGTCGATGAAGGTCATGGAGTTGTACTTGTCGGCAAGGTCACAGATCTCCCGCAGCGGGGTGACGTTCCCGTCCATGCTGAACACGCCGTCAGTGACGACCAGTCTCATCCGACAGCCCTGTGTCTGCTGCAGGATGGACTCTAGGTCCTGCATGTCCTGGGAGTAGAAGATTATAAAAGTTAAACCATATCAAATTGCAACTAGTGCAATAGCCAAGTGGGTAGATAGAGCCATCTCCAGCCGAGCCATACCAAAGGCGCAGAAGTCGTACCAATATGGTACATAGTGCTTTCTCTGCTTAGTGACAAGGAGTGTGGCAGTTAAACACACACCACTGCTGTAGTGATTGCACAACTGTGTGGCCCAAGAACGGGAGATGGGCACCACATAGTGTGGGAAGGACTTTAATTAACTAACGTTCCCGTCCATGCTGAACACGCCGTCAGTGACGATCAGTCTCATCCGACAGCCCTGTGTCTGCTGCAGGATGGACTCAAGATCCTGCATGTCCTGGGAATTACACAAATTCTCAACATGAGTAGAGGGAAAGAAACAACCTTCCCGCAACCAGACTCCCTTGGCCAATTTTACTCTCTTTTTTTGCAGAATTCTATGATCCATACATTCCCGTAGAAAGGCCTGGTGGAGGCTAGCAGGATAGAATCAAGGTCCTGCATGTCTTGGGAACTATACACAACCTCTCAACATGAGTGGAGTCAGTGGTAGAAATCCTTTTTTTCAGTGTTGTGCAGAACGTCAGAATGTATACCTATGGAATGTCTACCTATGGAACTTTCAAGTAAATTCATGCTATGAGAACTAAACAAATTTCTAGGTTATAACAATTTAAAGTCAACACTTCAACTAGGGTAGTAACATGTAATATTACTCTAAATATGTTTGACTGTCTGTAGTATGATTCATACTAAAATAGTTCAGGAACCAGGGCTGGAAATACTGGGCTCATGCACCTTAGTGCACCCAAATTTGGAACTGTCCACCCAATCTTTTTCTGCTGGTGCACCCAACTACAATATTTTCATAGGTTTAGGTATTCATTCCTCCCCTGGTCTCACCTTGTGTTTGTACCTGAACCTCTGGGCCTTGCACAGTCGGATCCCGTCGATGATCGAGGCGTGGTTGAGCTCGTCTGAGATCACCGCGTCGTCCGGTCCCAACAGGACCTCGAAAATCCCCGCGTTGGCGTCAAAACAGCTGATATACAGGATGGCGTCCTCCCTTCCATGGAATCTAGTTATCATTAGGTGAAGATAAAGAAAAGATACCGGTAAAGCAGTTATCATTTATTGAATTTTAGCTAATAGTTCAATGATTCAGTGAGTATATATTGAGTTTTAAACTTAAGTATTGAGAATTGAGTGAGTGAGTGAACGAGTGAGTGAATGAGTGAGAGTGAATGAGTCAGTGAGTGAATGAGAGTGAATTGAGTGTGTGACAGTGAGTGAGTGAGTAAATAGTTCAATATGACATGAACAATAAAGCACTAATCCAGATGAATGTATTGGCTTCTTTACAAAACAGAAGAAACTGTTCCACATACATGTACATGTACACCTTGACTTCATCTTTCCAGGTAAAAAGAACTCCCAGAGACAAAGAACTAAAACATTGAAGACACATGGTATGATTCTGGCGAGAAAATACAATGTGTCATGTAACTTGTAATGTACTGTCCCCCAAGTTGGGCCAGACCACCTTCAGATATAGGGGTTACAGGATATATCCGGACCAGACCACTGACTGTGGGGGGGAGTTACAGGTGTGCTTACTTTGCTATCTTCTGCTCCAGCTCCCTGTGGATGTCCTGTGTCCCGCAGATGAAGCGAACCGAACTGAGACCTGCTCCATGGGTGTCTAACGCTGTTTTACCGGCTGCTATAACCTGTAACATACATGTAGCAGGGGAATATGTCATAAACAAAATACACAATATGCAATACTGCAATGTAGTTAGTTCTGTACAGAAGAAAAAAGACAACAATCCATACTTTAGGCATAATTTGGAGGGTAGCATATTGGTATGTAAATCTTAGCTGTTGCACTCTTGAATTGGGTGTATTTTGCTGATAGTCTTAGTCTTATGTACTACATTGTATGCAACACTCACAAGATACAAGACTTAGTACACGTACCAGCCAAATACGCCCAATTCATGTAAGACTATATGTTATTCCTTGGCGTCAGTCTTCTTCCCTAGAATTGCTTTGCCCTTCTTAAAGATGTGAGATGTCCAGCCAGCTTGAAATTTTTTTTCCATCATCCCAGCTACAAGTTTATGGTTGGATTTGGAGGGAGAGTGCTCACAATCTATTGGGACAGGGGGCAAATTGTGGATATATCTAACATTCTAAGCCTTTAAAATCACAATTTATTACAGTTTGAGAGGCAAATCAAGAGTGGTTGAGAGTGATCCTTTCGATGTTTTTATATTTTTTCCCAACATTTTTGTCAGTTTTGACTGTCAAGGTTGACGGATTGGTTTACAATTTTTTCCATCACAAGCCACAAAGTTCCTGCAATTGATAGGAAAACGGGTGCTGGCTAGAGCCCTGTGACTTGACTAACCTCAGGATTGGAGGACAGGCCCAGGTAGTTGTTTGCGCAGAAGTTGAGGATGTTCCCCTCGGTCCCCTGCACCGTGATGTTGGCTGCCTGCGGAGAGGTAATCACGCGCTCAGTCTTCCACGTCCCGGCCTGGCGGATACCCTCCAACTCACCACCCAGGATCTCCTACAGGGGCAAAGGGCAAGGGTAAAAGGGCAAGGGTTAATGGGTGATAACACGCTTGGTCTTCCACGTCCCGGCCTGGCGGATACCCTCCAACTCACCCCCCAGGATCTCCTACAGGGGCAAAGGGCAAGGGTAAAAGGGCAAGGGTTAATGGGTGATAACACGCTTGGTCTTCCACGTCCCGGCCTGGCGGATACCCTCCAACTCACCACCCAGGATCTCCTAAAGGGCAAAAGTTTACCCACATTGGCATCAAAACAGCTGATATACAAGGAATCTTAGGTAAAGATAAAGCAGTATTCATTTACTGTACTGCTTTTTTTTCTATTGAGTGAGTCTTAAACTTAGCGAGTGAGCAAGTGAGCAATTGAGTGAGTGTATGTCATTGAGTGACTGAGTGAGTGAATGGCAAGTGGGTGGGTGGGTGGCTGAGTGAGCGAGAGCTCACAAGTGAGTGAGTGAGTGAGTGATCACACGCTCTGTCTTCCACGTCCCGGCCTGGCGGATCCCCTCCAACTCACCACCCAGGATCTCCTACAGGGTAAAAGTTTATTTTTTTATTTACTCATTTAGGCCACACCAATTTAATTTCTTGGTTAACGAATTTGCCACAAAAAAAATTCAGAATCAAAATGCTCATATTTTGCCCTGAACAGTTGAATACAGTCCTTTTCTTCCTAGTTAGTTGTTACATTTATTCCATCTTTCAATGCAGTGGTATCATTAAAAATTCAAAATTCATTGTTTAAATTTTGAACCAGCCTGGTGTGTTGACTTCATGGCTCCTATCGTACCATTTTGGGGCATAAGAGGATGCCTAGGCCTTTTTTTATTTTTATTTTTTTCGCCCACCCGCTCCATTATTTTTATAGAAAAATCCGTTAACCAATTGCAAGAAATTAAATTGGTGTGGCCTTATTGAAATTGTGTAACAATACATGTGGGACACAGGCAGCTGTTGCTGGTGTTGTGTCGATCCCCAAAAACAAATACAGGACAGGACAGTTATTTACTCATTTTCACCTGAGTAAAGTGGGGAAAGTCATGTTAAGTGCCTTTACCAAGGGCACAAGATTTTTTTTTTAATACGCTGTATTTTTATGAAATGATAACAAAAATGTGCAAAGGGCAAGCATCAGACCTTGTGGTTATAGCCTGGAGTCTAGCATAGTTAAGCCCACTCCGCTACAGCCTTGTATACCTAACAATTCATGTAACATCTGTGTCCATAATATCACCAGGGTCCATAGTATCACCACCTTGAGAAACAGTGTGCTTTAAGATATTTTTACTGCAACATACTTTTGGTATGCACTCCTGCACACCTCAAATGTACATACCTAGGGTATGTTGCAGTAAAAATATCTTTAAGCACACTGTTTCTCAAGGTGGCGATATTATGGACCCTGGTGATATTATGGACACAGATGTTAGCCTTGGCCGAGAATTACAAGGCTGGACTCAAGGCTACTGTGGTTTAAGGGTTGTTTGTTTAGAATTTAAAGGGTCTGCATGGGGGTGTATATAATCATGGAGGTTGAAAATTAAGAGGTTAACAACTAGTTTAACTCCACTTTTAGCCCCTGACAACTTCAAAGTCAAACCTTTGCCTTATGGCCTCCTCAGGATTAAAACAAATACCTCATTGAGGTTGTAATGTTAGAGGGCAATCAAGAAGGAAAAGAAGAAATTTCATTTTAAGAGCATCCAAAATTATGCATTAAGGCATAATCTTTGTGATATTGACACATACTGCCCCACATTAACACGAATTTTGAATCAGTATTTCAGACTTTAGGCATTTAAAACTGCAGAAGCCCCAAGATTAGTTCTTTATTTTCTGGGTGGTACCCTTACTACCCTAAAAATCAAATATTACTGAACAACCCCGGTGAACCAAGGTGTTAAAATAAATGCATCAGGAAACGCTTTTAATAAGAAAATCTTTCTTCCTGTATGCGGAGTGTAAACGTGTAATCTATTGTTATAAACTACGTTATCACTCATTCTGTGTGCATATTCTACATCCTTGTTTACACTACGCAAACATGTCATGGTATTTTTCGCTTCAACCTACTGTAATTCACTTTATGTTCACGGTAGCGAAATTTCATGGTCTGAGAAAAATGAACATGTTCACTGAACTATATATTCACAGTGGTGACAGGTGCAGGAAAAAGAAAGTCCAGAAATTATTTGTTAACTGTAATGATTGGTTCACGGTACAGAAGTGACAGTGAAAACAGTGGACATGAAGTATATGCCTTTAACATTTTTATAACAGTGAGTACAATGTGTAAAAGAAAAATAAAGGAATTCTAAATCTCTAAATCTAACAATTAAACTCAAATATGCCATTACCACACCACCAAGCTTTACGAAATAACTGTTGTAAAAATATTTCTGTTAACGTGGCGGTTCTTTCAAAGGGGATCGAAAATATTTATGGGTTAGCGAAAGTGGTTACGAAAATGTGCCCTTATGGACGATCGGTTGACTTTTATGCCTTCAAACTTATGTGGTTGAGCCTTGACAAGTTTTCCTACCTTCATGGAGGCCAGAGCGGACTGGAATCGCCGAGGGGCGAGGAAAATCGGGCTCCGAGTCCGGAGAGTTCGAACTGCAGTCACGTAAAGGGCCGCCATGTTGGACGATATGTAACGTGCAGCCTCGGTTTCGTTTATACCTCAGGTCATTGACCCCATCAATGGTAGCCCCGCCTTCGAACACGCCCACTTTTAAAAAAAACTTTTTTTTAGGGCACACGAAGTTATTTTTAAGGTTTACATCAATTCCGTAATTGCTTTTGGCCTGTCTCCTCCTAAAAAAAAACACTGCGACCTTGTATATTCCTTTCGCGGCCTTTGAGAGAGGGGGGAGGCAGAGAGAGAGAGCGAGAGAGAGAGAGAGCGAGAGAGAGAGAGAGCGAGAGAGAGACACTGAGAGAGATATTGGTGTTGAATATCATACAAACTTCAAATGAGAAGGTAGAGACACGGAGATAGGCAGCTATTATTATGCAGACCTGTAGACTTGCGCCTAAAAGCGCCAAAAGCCTATGTCACACATTCAAGAATATGGTCTCCCAAAGACTAGACGTACCCTCTACCAGGCTCGGAAGGCGGCTGGAAAGAGTAGAGAGATAGCTTGCCGCCGAGGGAGTTGGTCCGCTGGAGGGTACATTTTGCCACACCAAATGTACTCTATCGGACTAACTTCCCCGGCATGTTATCTCTCTATTTGGCCAATTTCTACTTTTTCCAGCCGCCTCCCGAAGCCTGGTAAAGGCTACGTCCAGTCCCCCGGAGGCCAAATTCGTGAATGTGTGACATCGGCTTTAGGCGCTAGATGTTTTGTTTTCTACGAACCAAGCAACAAGGGTGGGTCTGCGTGTCAAGGCAATTGAAAACTCAACAAAAGTTGCCCACCTGGTCGTGGCCAGTGATTGCTATCCTTTGAGGTCCTACCTGATCAACGTAATCAAGTTTTGCTCGGTTTCACATTCCAAGCAACAAGCCAATGACACTCTTTGTTCAGTTAATGAGGAGGTTTGAAATTGGTATCGAGAGGAACAAAAACTCTTATTAAGTTAGACAGTGCAACTGGGTTGCCGGTATACACGTTACGGCCCCAAGACCCTGGCCTCTACCAGGCTTCAGGAGGCGACTGGAAAGAGTAGGAATCGGCACATGATAGAGAGATAACATGCCAAGGAAGTTTGGACGGGTGGAGAGAACAGTTTACCGCTCCAGCAGAGCAACTCGCCTGACATGTTATCTCTCTATTTGGCCGATTTCTGCTCTTTCCAGCCTGTTCCCGAAGCATGGTAGAGGCTACCAGGACACGGGAGTTTTGGTTGGATGACAGTGGGGACAAGTATAGAGACGTATAATGTATAGAGACGTAGACGTATAATTCTCAATAATCGGTAAGTTTGTTGCAAATTTCTGCCCGAAGGCTAACTGCAAATAACAAAAAGAACACTGAAGCAGAGTAAATAAAATTATAATTAAGGTAATTCATGGTCTGCTATGTCTAAAACTATGTCTGACGCGTTTGACTTCTCCTTTGTAACCCATGATAGACCTCTTCCAGAATTTGTGGGTAGTAATCTTAGTAGTACTTTTGGGTAGCAATACACAAGAAATTCAATTCAGAAATTCAGACAAAAACAACAAAGTAATATATTTCACGGAGGTATGAAATATTGTCTTTCATTGGACAATTCTACCAAATCGTCTTTATGTACATAATTTATAACGGTGCACTTCTGACAAAACAGGCATGAAAAATTATTCTAAATTCTGG